GAGCCCGATGGCCCCCGCGTCGCCGATGTCGTTGTTCGCCAGGGACAGGGAGAGCAGGGAGCGGTTCAAGCGCAAGCCCTGGTGGGCCAAAAGACTGGCTGGGTGCTGGGGCGCAGGGGTGCCTGGGCACCCAGCTGCCCCCCCCCACGCCCTCCCCTGCCCCGCGGCAGGCAGCCCTCCCGCTGCCCACCTCGGCGATGTAGCCGGCTCCCAGGTCCGAGATGCGGTTGAAGCTGAGGACGAGCGAGACCAGGCTGCGGTTGGAGGAGCGCAGGGTGGAAAGGCTCTGCCCGATGAGCCGGGCGGCCGCGTCCCCGATGCTGTTGTTGCGCAGCGAGAGGTGGGCCAGCCTGCGGGGACGGGCAGCGGAGGCCTGGGCTTGGCTGCCTGCCGGGGGGGGGACGCGAGTGGGTGCTGCACCGTGTTCGGGGGGGACGCGAGTGGCTGGGGGGCCGGTTTTGGGGGGGGGGGGGTGTCCTGTTTGGGGGCTCGATCCGGCTCTGACTCACGTGCTGTCGCTCCCCATCAGCGTGTGGAAGGCGGGCTCGGGCAAGGGGTTCCCCTCCAGGCTGAGCGTCCTGCGGAGGGAAACACACACCCCCCCCCATTAACGATCCTCCCTGGCACCCCCGTTCCTCAATTAGTGGTAACGCGCGTGCCGGTGTCCTGGGGGGGGGGGGGCTGCCTGCGCCCCCCCCCCCCCCCCCCCCCCCCCCCCCCCCCCATTAACGATCCTACCCCCGTTCTGAATTGGCACTGGGCATCCATGGCCAGATGCTGGCAGTGGGGAGGGGGGGGGACCTGCCGGGGCCCTGGGGGGGGGGGGGCTGCCTGCGCCCCCCCTCCCTGCCCGCACTCACTGCACTGCCTGCAGGCCGGCCAGGGCGGGCAGGCACTGGCTCAGGACCCCCAGCATGTCCTCCTCGATCTTCCAGCCTGCCGGAGACATGGAGGTCAAGGCCGCGCGACGACGGGATGAGAGGGAAGAGCCCCCAAATGTGGCCTCTCCCCTCCCGAGAGCACTGGCGCGGCTGAGGGGGATCCCACAGGCTGATTTCCAGGGGCTCCTCGTCCCTGGGTGCCGGGGGGGGGACCCTGGGGCTCCCCCCAGGACCCACCTCGCAGGAAGACGGCGCGGGTGCTCCGGGGGTCCTCGTGCTCCCTCTCCACCTGGATGCAGGGCTGGAAGTAGCCGTACTTGCGCTCGATGCGGGCGAGGAGCTCCGTCAGCGTCGGCTCGGCGGGCTCCTCTGCGGGCCGGGGACGAGGGTGGGTCAGGGGGGT